CAAATGATTTGTTTTCTCGACCAACCATATATACATGCAAGTCTTTCTAATCATGTCGGGCTATCAATACAAACTAATCAAAAAATACTTCTCAAATCTGAGTACTATAGCACAACTCTACACGTTGGATTCACATCCTTACTCCGGGGAACCTAAGGTGTTCGGGTAATACCTAAGTTTTCAAACTTTCCCAATGTCATTAGTCCTGGCCTCTCTTCCCTCAAACTCTATATACTTTCTCAACATCCCTCAAAATAAAAGTTTTCAAATGAAAAAAATTGACATGCCTAATTTGCGATGGAATTCGAGAGTGATTGATTTTATTAAAGGGAAAATAGAAGCAAATAACGAAAAACATAAATAAAAAAAGAAAAACTAAAATAGGTGAAGACCCCCTCAAACTTGAACAAAACATTGACCTCAATGTCTTAGAGCAAGAAAGGTGGGGTGGACTCACAGGTGTCCTCACTGAGGAGGGGGGAAACACAACATCAGTTGCTGCATCATCACTTGGACATCATCCAAGACTATTCCTTGCCGATTTTCTCCTCCTTCATGAGATTTTTATTAACTAGAAGAAACAAAATAAAACAATAAGAAAATAAATTAGTGCAAAAATCGTGGGTTGCCTCCCACGAAGCATTTTGTTTAAGGTCATTTAGCTCGACCAATGATGAGCGCAAAAACTCAAGGTGTCTCCCTCAAAAAATAATTCCTTAACTTCATTCTCAGCAGTATTAGGTGTCCATTCCCACTTATCAAGCCATCTCCCGTATCCACTACTCTTCTTTTTCTTCTTCCTATGGGGTTGTTTATATTTCTTAACATGTGGGGGTGGTTCCGGTTCTATCCTAAGTATCAAATTTTAGGGTTTAGATTTAATCCTTTCATTCTCCACCTTAAAGGTCAAACTTCCCCTCTTAACATCAATAATTTTCTCAGTTTCATGGTCCTCCAATATTCTCCTTTTAGACTGGACCTTGGTTAATGGCACATTGGTAGTTATATTTTCCCCCATCTCCACATACCTATTGCATTGGGTGTCTACCGTAGCTTCCACCAATATTTGCGAGAAAGGAATTTATGGCTTGTATAGAGGAGGAGAAAGATAAGGTGATTCCTTCTCTACCTCTTTTATAACTTTCTTTTCGGGTGGTGTCAGTGGGTTTTCCTCTAGGAGTTTCAACTTTCATTTTCCCTAGGAGTTTCAACTTATTTTTCACCTCTTTTATAAGGTGATTCCTTCTCTACCTCTTTTATAACTTTCTTTTATAACTTTCATTTTCCTTAGGAGTTTCAACTTATTTTTCACTTCCTTTCGTTACATCATTCACATGCCCCTTGGGGTTTAGCTCAGGTTGCCTTGGAAATAAATCGGAAGGGACGGAAGAAGCAATTTGTTGTTGTGCTACTTGGAAGATTTGAGTCTCCAACATTTTGGCACGGGAGATAACATTTTCAACCGTAGTCTTCAATAGTCTAAGCGCCTTAATGGTGAGGAGGTTTTGATTTCTAAGCTCTTGTTTCACGAGAGTTTGTGTTGCCACAAAGCTCTCTATCACATACTCTAAGTTAGAGTGATTTTGTGTCTCAATGAAATTCTCCATTAACATATCAAGGTTTGACTGTTGGAAATTTGGTGGTTCCTCGATATAATGGGAGTGATTATCATAGTAAAAATTTGTGTGATCCATCCACCTTGGGTTATAGGTATTGGGATAAACATTTTCATGGTTATTATTCACATAATTGAACAACATATTTTGGACAGATCACATGTATACCACAAAAGAAACAACAGAAAAGAAAAAAATTGTTCAAATATCTACGATAGCAGATTAGAATAATCGAAAATAGTTCTCTTATATAAGGGAAGCAAGAGAACCACAACAAACAAACACAATAAAATAAACAAAAAAATAAGCTCTAGCCTCTATGATGATCATACAAAATTTCAATATTAACGCAATTGGTCCTCGACAATGGAGCCAAAAACTTGACACATCGCAAGTGCACGACTAATCTCAGAGTAGTAAAAAGTATCAAACTACAGAGACCAATGGTTAATTACCGATTTATATCATATCAGTGTAAAGCTAGAGCGACCGAATAATGAGTTTTAGTAAAAAAACTTAAACAGAAAAGAAATTATAGAAAATCACCTTAAAATGGGTAAAAACTATATAAAGCAAGTAGGACATAGGGTTATGACTCCTATCCTAGACTTCTCCACATGACCTAAGCATTTATATTACGGGAATTCCAACTCAGTTTATAGAAAAATTGTTAAAATAGCAACACATGCCTTCACCAACGTATTACACTACCTCAAACAAACGGGACACTCGTCGGCTTTCGCTCACGCAGAAACGTCCGTTAGTGGTCTTTATTTTCGTGCAAATATTAAATATGAGATCTTTCTCAATTTCCTCCGATCACTTTAGTGACTCGGATTTAACTGTTTAAAAATCAGCTTTCCGGTAATGCCTATACCCTTTCGGCGCAAGTCAAATACCTAAAGACAATACTCCTACTCTCGTAGCAAGTTTTGAAAAACACTCAGAATTTTAAAATAAAGAGTACGAAATTCCTGTAACTAGCCTAGGTCATGCAAATAATTAGAAGATAATGTTCATAACCCTTAGTCCCTAGAGGACTACTCACTAATATTCAAGAACAAACCAATCAAAACAATAATTATGAATACATACATGATCGATAAATAAGTGATTAAATTAGTAATCGGGAACCTGATTAATGAAAAAGTGACTCTTTTTATTCAAAGTGACCTAGCTGCTCCAATGGAGACTTGTACAAAGTTGCAAAGAAAAAACGTAAAACTAAGAACGTGAAATAAAAACGGGATAAAAACTCAAGACTACCTATGAGTTTTTATATTAAATCCTAAACATATAAATAATCTCCTAGTATTCAATGCCAATTACACACAATGAAGATTAAATCCAAGCAATTAAAGAGGCTTGAAGTGGAGGGAAACACGCCAAAAAGGAAATAAATCGGGAAAACTCGCCCTCCTGTTACACGCCGTAACAGTTGTTACTGGTACCCACAACAGGCCTCTGGATTTTTTATGGGGCGCATGCTTTTGAGGGCTTGTGACATCTTCTCCTGTTACGGGTACCCGTAACAAGTCCCTGGTTTTTGTACTGAAATTTTCCGATTCTTGCCTTTTTTCTTATTTTGCTTACTATTCGTCCATTTTTTGCTTGAAATGCATATCATGGTCTGAAAACAAGAGAAACACCATACCAAAGCTTAAAATCTAGAAAAATAAAGCGAAAGAAAACAAAAGCGAGGTAAAAACAACATAAAAACTACTAATAAAAGCAACATAAAAACCACTTATCTGGTACAATGAATTTATGCGAAGAAAGAAAAGGAGTTGCCCTAATAGCACGGGTATTCGAACAGAAATGGATACGACTAAAAAAATGGTGAGATTATGTAGTTCATGTCGTCAACCCGGGCACAATCGTACAAAATGTCATAATGTTAGACTAAGCACAAACCATAATTTTAAATATTATCGTTTCTCTTTATATTAACAACAACTTTCATTTCATAAATACCATAACATTCAATAACAATAATTTAAAAACAACAAGTAACAATAATTTAAATAATTAAACAAAACAAACAAATACAACGACTAAACAACATAACTATGCAATTACAACCATAAAGATAATTTCTTGAGAACTATACATCAACGTCTAAGCATCTTTGTCAGTTGTAACATTCTCCTATAAACGAACTTCTCCATTTTGGTTGAAGATGGTAACAAGTCTTTCAATTCTTTTGATCTTTTCACCCTCTGGAATGCCTCCATCTAACCAACCGTTCAGACTCCTGTTAAGATGTTCGAACGTCAGTGTATTCCAGAGTCGAATCATCATCAGAGGTTTTACCGACGAACAAATTAAATCGGCATTTCTCTTGTGGATATAGGAAACCTTATAAAGATATGAAGAGGAAGAAGAGGAAGCCATTTTGAAAGAAAAATGGAAGGAGATTATAAAAAAAATGGAAGAATAAGAATTGCGAGAAATAAAGAGGAGGTGGTGTTGTGTTTATATTTATAATGATGGGATAATGCAGTAGTCAAATGAAATGGTGCATACACACATTATTACAAAAGAAGGAAAAAAAGTAGGACAAGAAGATGCGCCAAATGAAACGGCGCATGAGTTATGGGCTTATATGGTGGCGCCATTTCATATGGCTTATGTTACATGCACACTCTAAATCAAATGGCGCATAGTTGCAAAAATTAGGATAAACGCCATTTGAAATGGCGTCTTCTCCTTATGCTGTTTTGAAACATGGTTATTTTAATAAATATTTTAAAAATATAGTTTATTTGATATTTAAATTAAAAAAAAATAAGTTATAAAAAAATCAAAATTTCTCATATACAAGAATTTGAATTAAAAACTTTAAATGTGGGAAAATGAAAATTGAATTATAGAGAGGTATATTAACAATTAAAGCATTAAAAGATTTAGTAATAATTATCTTTAATTTATAATATGACTAAGAATTAAATTTATTTTCTTATAATAATGATCATAAGCTGTATCTATTTTTTAATAAGATGTATCTTATATTTTTTAATCTTTATTTCACAAAAATTTATTATGTTTCACAAGCGATACCATTTAGAATAAATATATATCAAATTTAAATAAAAAACACAAAGACAAAAAAATTTAAATTTAAAATATAAAGACCACTAAACAAAATTGTAAGTAAGTCAAATGTTTATCTTAAAAATAGTGGTTAATCATAATTAAATGTTATTCACATATCACAAACCAAAATTAAGCAATGTGAGCTCTCCTTAAATAGAATCAAATTATTTTAAAAAATGGCGTAAAAGCAAAATTCCTTTTCTACCCCTGTCTCTGTAAACACAAAATCCAAAACCAAATTCATATCAATCAATCATCATCACGAGGGTGATCTCATCGTCCAACACAATGTCCACAAAAAATACCTTCAGCATCATCTTTTGTTTCTTCTCATCATTCATATTTCACACGATAGCCTCACCCACTCCCACAGCCTCACCCACTCCCTCAGCCTCGCCCGATGCCAAAGAAATCCACGACCTCCTTCCTGATTACGGTTTCCCAAAGGGCGTCCTTCCCAACAACGTCGCCTTATACACCATCTCCCCATCTGGTTACTTCACCGTCCATCTCGATTCCCCATGTTACGTTCACACCTCTGATCGATTCATTTACTACAATACCCTCATCACCGGAACCCTCACTAACGGTTCCGTTTATGGTGTGTCGGGGGTCCAGACCAAGATACTTTTCATTTGGCTCTCCGTCACCGGGATGAAAGCTGATTCACGTTCTGGCATGCTTGAGTTTTTCATCGGAGCTTTGTCGAAGGAATTACCGGCGAACCTGTTTCAGAATGTGCCGGCGTGTTCTTTTATGGCGGGTAACGTATCTCCCACGGCGTATTTTGAGGATAGTGCTACGTGAATTGAATGAACAGGTTGCATGGCTCTTCGAATTTAAATTGTAAATAGTATTTTGGGTGGTGTGAAATTGAGGTATAATACTGTAATAAAAATTGGCTTTTTTATGTTAATCTTTAGGTTTAAATTCGTATTTTTCTCAATGTTAAATATCTTTTTAATTGTATTTTCTCAATTCAAACATGTGCAAAATCCATGTTACGTGATTAGAAGTATTTGGAGCTCTAAATTGATTTGAGAGGTGGGTACAAATAGTTTATTGGATCCGGAAAAACCAACCCAGTTTGAGAGCAACGTCAATGAATTTATGGTGGTACAATGTGATCGATCCTTGGCAAGCAAGCCAAACAATGGTCAACTTAAAGATTTTCGATATGGTGTTGAGCAACTAACAAGCAATGGAATAATGGTGTGATCCAAGTTCTTGTTGGAGGTAACAAAGCTGCAAAAATTACTCAAACACCCTCCTTGACTTTGTTCATGAATACAGACAGGGTCATATGAAAATTAGAAGTAATAAAATTTTCTCTTTTCAAAATCTTTCGCGCTATTATAGAAAGAATATTACTTTATATATTTCATACATGAATTATCTGTACAAATTGCAAACTCAAATATGTTTTTCAATATTTTAGATATTCATCTTCGAACGCATTTAAAATGTATATAATATTATATAAATGAATCATTCCCCTCGTATTTATAAAAAATAGTTTGGAGATTCATCTATGGAATCACCCTAAAAAAATTAAGGAGGTGCATCTCAAATCAACCCTTTTTTTAAAGCAAGAATTCCATTAACAGAGTACTAGGGGTATTTTTGCCAAGCCAGACGGTCTCGACGACATTTCAACGGAAGTTTGACTATCCTCTAATTGGAGAACCATGATTCTCTCTGATGACGAAAGGATATGCAACAAGAATAACACTTGCTTCATTCCCTTTTATGAATGTAACTTCTCCACCATAGGTCTTTTCCTCCCTTTGAATGTTTTTGAGGTAGAGGTTTTGAACAATTTAGCCATGGCTCCTTCGCTACTCCACTCTTAATGCTAGGCAAATTTGAGATTCTACCAATACCAATGTGAGTACGTGAATGAAAAACCCATCGTTTTTCTCTTTTTTCACCTCTTCAGATGCCTTTGTACTTTGGCATCTCAGATCCGGGGTAGAATACTACTTTTAAAGTCGTTCTTTCCTGGTTTCGAACGTCTTCCATAACTTTCTCATTTTGAGGATTAGTTCTTCTTGGTGACACTCGTCAGCCTGGAAGCTCATGCTACAATTTGCGATGTTGGCAATGGAATGAAGAGTAGATTTATCGACTTATTTCCCAAATATTGGACTGAGGATCACTTTTTACTGGGAAATAACTTTTTTGTATACAATGAGAAGAATCTTTTGGAAGAAGTTCGGTACCAGAAAGATCGATTGGTGAATTCATCAATAAATTGGGATATCTAGGAGGAGCTACCTTGGTTCTAGAAGCTGATAAGAAATGCTTAAAGCATCTTATTGACATTCTGCTTTTGATAAGAGCTTGCTCCTCAGGAGAGAGAATAACCTTCTTCGGTAAGCTACGACTTTCTCTTTTGAATTTTTATGGAATTCTCACTATTACTATTTCTTATATATTAAATATGTTATATATTGTGTAGAATGTATGGGCAATGAAGAATAATTTTTGCTTGCTCTTTACTGGTGGTTTCTAGCTCGTGCTCTGCCAAAAATTGTTAATCTCCTCCACTAGACGGGGATTGTGCTTGTCTGGATGAGCTTTTTAGGCCCGTTCGAGAAGAAGAAATGGGAAAATCAGACAGGTATAATTGGCGTGCCTCGATTGCTCTGGATCTTGGTCTAATCGGTCATTGGGATGCTTCTTGTTCCAACTGGTATCGTATTGAGAAGTGACATATTGAAGATAGCATCTGAGATTTGAATCTTCAATGGGACAAACACTTGCAGGAAGCAAAGGAAATTTCTACCTCTCTTTCCATGGTGAATAATGTTTTAATTCCTCTTAAGCTCATTGGATCTCTTTCCGACCAGGTGGCTCAGTTGGTGAGGACCTTGAAGATGAAAGACTGGGTTTTATTTGTTGTTCTGAATAGACAAGGGGTTGCTCACAAGGAAATATAGTCCTTGTCTTGTCAAAATGCTTCGCTGACTCAACAGTTGGCTGATTGTACGAGTTCCACCTCGAGGCGGTTTTGCAGTCATTTGAGAATGCTTTGGACCAAGTAGAATAATTTCATTTACTAGTGACACTTTATAGGTATCAAATCTGGTCGGACCAAGTTGTCATGGTCAGAAAGATCGTTCTTCTGATGAAGTAGTTCAACGTTGTTCATGAAAACAGGGTCATATGAAGATTATAAAATAATAAAATTTTCTTAATTCGAAATGTTTACCATAATTATATAAAGGATATTACTTTATCCATTCCATAGGTGACAAACAGGTGATGCGAGCAAACTGGAAATTCAAATTTGTCGTTCCATATTTCAGATATGCACTTAAAATGTATACAACACTTTATTAGTGAGTCATCCACCACATATTTGTGAAAAATGTCTAGAGATGCATCTATGGAATCACCCCAGAAAAATTACGGAGGTGCATCTTAAGATTAACCATTGAAAGCACTTTGCGCTTTACAAATGAACCATCCACCCCAAATTTGTCAAAAAGATAGACCAGAGATGTATCTCCGTAAATTTTTAGGAGTGATTACATAGATGCATCTCCAGCATAACCCCAGAAAGCATTTAGGAGTTATTATCATTTGGCAGAATGTGTTACAAATTAATATTTATAAAGCCATTTACACTGAGGATATATTGACGTTATGCTAATATACAAATGTAATTCAAACATGTCATATATAAATTCAAATATATACATTAATCAATTAGTCAAAAATGTTACCACGACAAATAATTTTTTTTCCAGAAAATACAATTGTTAATAAAATACAAATGAAAATAAACTATTGTGTATTTCTAACCCCCTGGTTCTCCTTTGCTGCTCGTACCCCAAGTCATTTTGTGCCTAGAGTAAGATGGTTTGTAAGACGACTATTGCAGTGAGAATCGGATATCAAGCTATTGAATTAACTTGAATCACAAATCATGAAGTTCACTACCAAGCTTTGATTTATCCACGGGAAAGGGTAAATATCGAAGAAAACCCTAAGTGCACTATGTAACAACACAACTAAAAGATCTAAGGTTCGGGGGTTGGTTATACCTAGGGAAGGTATTAGCATCCTAAGCATCTGTAGTACTCTACAGAAACCTCTTGTTAGTATTTGTGTTATGCTAGAGTTTTCTTGCTAAGGAAAAAGGTGTTAAGGTAAAGATCTAAAGGTATATACAAAGTATGCTCGCCAAGATATCGCATCTCATGCCTACGTATCATGATGGGAATAGAATCAGAGCAATCGTAATTCCCCTCCATAGGAGTGAGGAACTCTTGACTATGGTCAAGGTTTCAAAGGGAAAAGTAAATATCTGCGGTGAGACACCTACATAGAGTGCGGCGACTCTAAAATAAGGTTAAGTTCGCAAGGAAGGAAATGTCCACGGCGAAACGACTAAATAGAGCACGGCGACTCCAAGTCTTATGACAAAAGTAAACATGAGAAATGTCCACGGCAGGACGACTACCTGGAGCACGGCGACTCCAATCCTAAGTTGCAAATGTTAATAGGAAGTTAGTTGTTAGTGAGCTCGCCAAGGCATCGCATTTTGTGCCTACGTATTCTCATATATAAATGAGAAATCAGAGCGTTCGTAGTTCGTAGAACTACGAGTTGCCAGGTTCTAAGAACCAAGAACAACAAAGACAATTAAAGAAAAAAACAAGGGACACGCACAATGAAAATAAATCAACATACAGTCCCTCCCCTTGGATTAAGTCAACAAGGATCAAAGAGGGCAACATATACATGGAAGAACGTTACGTAAATGGAAAGCAGATAAGGCACAGACACAGTACACGAAAAGACATAATGCATGGTCAGATAAACAAAACATCACAGAGTACGCATGGAAAAAAAACATCATGGTAATCAGATAGTGAAAAGTCAATAGAAATACACGGAAAAACATCATGTAATCAACATACAAAGATACGCGGCAAAGCATCACGAATAAAATCAACAACACGTTCACGACAAAGCGTCGTGAATAACAAATAGAAAGCACACGAAAAAACATCGTGAAAAAACATCGAAAAATAATCAAGAAAAAACATCAAGATTAAATCACAGAAAATAAACTCAAGACATAAAAGCGAAAAAGTCGCACGATAAAATCAGACAACAATTAAATTAATAATCTACTTAGTGAATAAAAGGAATTAATCAATTAAATTACAAAAAACTAATCAATTAAATAGATAAATCACTTAACTAACTAAAAAAAATATGTTTAATAATTAAAATAGATTAATTAATTAAACTACAATTAATTAATCAATTAAACAAATAAATCAATTAATTAACTAAAAGGTAAATCAATAAAAAGGGTGACAATATAAGATAAAGAGTAAAAATAGAAAAATGGTGTAAATAAAAACATGAGGAGTCACTAAGCATAAAAATGGGCCTAAGACTCATTACTAAATCTAATTTAATCATACAAATAATATATAATATAAACTAAAAAAATAAATAAATAAATAAATAAAGTAAAGCAAGAAACATGGTTTTCCTAAAGAAAAATGTTATCTTGACACCCTTTTCTACATCCCATACATATACAGTATGTATTATTCACCGTATTTATACGGTAAACAGTGTTTTTTTATTAAATAATATATTTTTTTAAAAAAATATTTATTTTTAAATTTTATTTTATAACATATATATAAGATTACGCATTAACCAACTTCACAGTTGCATTAATCACAAAAATCTATATCATTAACCAATTATTTTAACTATAATTTATTAACCACTTTCACTACTCTATTAACCAATAAAATACATACTATTAACCA